CTCTCTCTCTCTCTCTCTCTCTCTCTCTCTCTCTCTCTCTCACACACACACACACACACACACACCTCTACACATCCTACACAAATATATAATTGCATAATTCTGCTTCCTCATGGAGGAAGCTTTGTTTTCGTAAAAAAAGTTTTTTTTAGTTGCCGCTGCCAATGTGTTCAGAATGTTGTAAAACGTCGAAAAATTGCATTAAAAAAAATCTCCGTGTGTGTGTGTGTGTGTGTGTGTGTGTGTTTGTTAGTTTGTGTGTGTTAATATCCACATGTAATAAAAGAAGAAAAAGTAAACAAAAAGAAAAAGGCACATGAGATTAAACAGAAATAAGCATTTAATAACAATGTATTAATATTATTTTGAAAATTAAACTTATATTTACATTTTTTTATATTTCTATTTTGACGTAGAACTACGTCTTTCCCGAGTGGGGTGGGGTAAGGGTCAAAGCACATAACATGGCGTAGCGATATACGACGGTCGTAATCCCTAACCTGATAGATTAGAATACGCTAAAGCTTGTGCGTTACTTACGTCCACACGACTACGACTGTCATATGTGCTTTGGCTCTAATTTCGGGCCACGACTGCGACGTTTTCTTGCAACGAAAACATGAAACACTAATATTTCTCGAAAAATATTAAAGGAAAATATACTTTATTATAGTGTTTTTGAAAGCTCTCGATGTGAGCTAAATGTTCCTGCAATTTATTTTGGTGGTTTTTTATAACCGATTTTTTTGATATGGCAATGTTTTCAGAATGTTTTAATACGTGGAATATTTCTTGAAAAGTATTAAAGGAAAATATACTTTATTATAGTGTTTTTGAAAGTTCTCAATGAGTTAAATGCTCCTGCAATTTATTTGGGTAGTTTTTATAATCGATTTTCTTGATATGCCAAAATGTGTTCAGAATGTTCTAAAACGCTAAGATCTGATTCCAAAATTCTAATTTTTCGAGGACGGCAACGATGAGTTTAATTTTTTTTAAAGATTTATACAGAAGATACGTAATGTAGCTACGCTCAAAGGAAACGAAGAATCGAGATCAGTTCCGCAAATGTTAAAATTATCGTTGACAGATGGAAAGAATAATTTTCAAGCCTTAGAAGTTGAACATATATCGGCTTTAAGGTATAAATGTATTAGATTAGATTGCGTTACTTACTGCCTTGTGTCGCTTTTTACAATGTCTCTTCTAATCATTTGTTTTACATGTAGTTAGTTAAAACACGCCACCTGGTACAAAAATACTGATAAAATCAGGAACTCTACCTGTGTCACATGGACTTTCTTTATTGACACCAGCGCATTTAATTTACGTACTTGGGGGAAAAGTTGCCAGTTTAGTGAAAAAATGGGAATTAGATAAGGTAAAACACATTTTACTTGATTAGATAATTTTATTTAATGGATATGGCGCATGTGTACAGAACTGCTTTCGTTCTAGAAATTAGCTTCATTCTTGAATAACATCTGCCGAGGAAGATGAGCCACTACCGTGGATACTATTTGGTAAAAAAATCGTAAAAGTATTCGAGCAAGATAAAAACTTCAAAGCCCCGGCAGAAACAGAAAAACCTAGCAAGGAGAATATGTAGTTTGAAGCTCAGCGCAATTAAGGATGCGATAGCGGAAGCTGCCAAGCAAGGCAGCAAGAAAGTATTTGGCGACGAGACTAAACAGGTTGACTTGCTTTTTTATATGTTCCATTAAATTAAAAGTTTGCGTTGATGTCTGAAAATCTAATTTATGTGCGTTTTACACAGCTATTGGATCATAGCGTACAGAAAATTGTGGATCGTGGATTTACCATAAATATTCAGTAAATAGAAATAACGTGGATAAAGCACTGAGATTTAAATATACCTGGACATATTTTGTGCTCCATGGAGCCTTTATAAAGCAGTGGATTGATTTCTACACAGTTTCCAGAGCCAAATTAGTGCAGGATTTAATTAGGCATTTTACATAAATCTGATTGGTAGAAAAGCGTCATAACGTTTTATTTGCTTACTGAAACTGGATAAGGGAACAACCAACTCATCTTGACCCCTTGAATTTTGCTAAACTTTTCATATGTTACAGTACACCCCATTCACTAATATAAAGTACAGTAATTCTGCCCAATGCGCAATAGTTTATTAATGTTTAAAATTTGTCGTGTGCGTAATTGTTTTAAAAGTCTGCAAAATAAAGTTTTATTTATGTACTATAATTATGTAGGATAAATAAGAAAAATATAATTATAATGACATTGCAAGGTAGTACATCACAATTAACAGAAATACATTAAAGTTGAATTTGTTTAATATTCAGCGTCGTCGCTGAATCGTCGTTAAGCGTCCCAGTACAATCAAACATAGACTTCGAAATACGTAAAATATTAATTATTTTTAAGTAATATCTTCAAGTAATAATATTTTATGGATACATATATAAATAAAAGATATTATTTCTAAAGATTTTTACTTGCTGAAAATGAGCGTCGAGCGTTGACGTGAAAAGGCACCTTTATGCCTTCCGTATTATTTACTCTTATGTTTAGTTTTAAGTTTTCTCGTGTAATTCGCGTTTACTTCATTCTTCGTAAGGTAATTCGAGTCAGTATCATCGCATTCGACCATATTTTCCGTTTCTCGTGTGATTTACGCGTCACTCCGCCGAATCTTTGCGCTGCCCTATATTAACCCCCCACCGCCGTTAGGTCGAGCTGGCCGATCTTTCCTACGTCCGACTAATTACGTTTAGTGTTCATTTTCGAGTTTTCGCGATTTTAGTGTGACTTAGTGGACGCGAGCTTACGCGTCTGGCGCCCAACATTAGTTCTGATTGTGAATTTAAGTGTCGGACGGCGCGAGAGACCCGTCGGAGAGGCCCGTCATCCTTCTCTCCTCACCTCTCTTTTTGATCCGTCTCGCGCTTCGGGCGCAAAAAGACGTGACAGTATATGTAAAATACTTAAACCTAAAGTTTGCAATAAGCAGCTTTTTTGCATTTTTGTTAATCAAGCGGAGATATTTTTGCGTTTTTCTGCTTTACCCTAATATGCATAATTATTGTTATAGGTGTTTATCACGGGAATGCGAAACCTTCTTCAGTTAGCGAATATTTGAAAGATTTCATTACTGAAAGCAAAAAACTAATAGAAGAAGGATTTCAATATGTAGGAAAATATTACAAGGTTGTAATAAACGCAGTAATCTGCGATACCCCAGCTCGATCGTATGTAAAATGCGTGAAAAGTCATAATGGTTCGAATTGGTGGCAAAACTGCAACCAAACACGTGAGCAACATTTTGAGTACTATATTTTCGGATGCGTTGGCGCGTGATTATTCATGGACAAGGCGGAAATAGTATATTATGCACCAAGGGGCGAAAGTAGCGTTTTTCAGACGAGTGTGAAGTTTGTCGCCCGAGCCGAAGGCGAGGGCGGCAAATCACACGAGTCTGAAAAAGCTTTCGCCTCGAGGTGCACACGATATTCTTTACAATATCTTTACGGAAAGTTCGACCTCCATGCCTAGAGAGAGGCGAGAGTGGCCATATTTCACGCCAGGACGGCATAGCGGGCGGAAAGTGGTTACTTTCGTCCCGCTAATGCCGTCCTGGCGTGAAATTGGTCACTTTCGCCCCTCTCTACAGGCATGGAAAGTCGAACTTTCCGTGGAGATATTGTGAAAGAGCATTTGCCTTTCAAGGGATGAAAATGGCTAAAACTCTCAATGGTATATAATTTATCCGTACTTATGTATATTATATATTTTCTGTGTATATATATAATTAATTAATGATATATATTATTATTTTACAGAGACGATTTTAAAAGAACACCTTAACAAACCAAAGTGAGATAGAATAGTTATTTGTGTAACAAGTGAGGTAAGATGAAAATTCCCGGGTGCGGAGTTTACGCACGAGCCGAAGGCGAGTGCGGTAACCGCACCCGGGAATTTTTATCTTTACACACGGTTTACACTCCCTATTTTATGTTGCAAGTGCCTGGAAAGTGGTCTATCACGCACGCGTAGCGTGCGTAATGGGGCACTTTCCATGCACGTGTTGCATAAAAAGAAGTTACGGTATAGTTTCACCATGCCGGTGATAGATGGAAAAGAAAGCATGCCATCCGTGGGATCCACGGCTGTAACGTCTCAAGAGAAAAACGACGACATAATGTGCTTAATTAATTTTTTTATGTCGCCTGTTAATCAAGTCAACGTCAATACGACCGATTAGCGAGATTATAACATACTTAAGATAGATTTAAAAAGTTCTTAATTAAAACAAGTTATTCATGTTTTTTAATCTAATTATTATTGCAAATTATTATTATTAATGTATTTTTGTATGCGTAAAATATATTATACTTTTTATTTCAAGATAAGATATAAAATAATAATTAAAATGTTTCTAATAATTATATAAAATATATATAGTGATTAGTACAAATGAGAATCCCGCGAAAGTGGATTGAGAAGCTCTCGGCGAGCTTTACATGCGAACTATTTTTACAAGAAGCTCTTAAAACACGATTTCTGAGCTCTTACAAGCGCAAATAAAACTTTATGCAAATTATAGATGTTTTCCATTTACATCAAAACTCAGATAAATCTCACTTTTGTCTTTCTTCAACATTCATGTTAGAAAGACAGAAGTAAGATTTATCTGAGCTTTAATGTAAATGGAAAGTATCTAATGTCGCTGCTTTTAGGCAGCTCGCAATAGTGGACGTACGAGCTCCTAGGGAGTTTATATGGAAGCTTTCCGGGAACTATTTTGAAGCTCGTAGGGAGCTATTAAAACATGATTTCTTAACTTCTTGCGAGCTTCGATGAAGCTCCCAGCTAGTTCTCAAAAGCGGACATATGAGCTCCCAGGGAGCTCCGTGCGAGTTCTTTTGAAATTCAAATAAAACTTATGAAAAATTTTATAAGCTCTTCAGGAACTCCCCGAGAGCTCCCCGTGTTGCTTTTAGACAGCTCGCAATAGTGGACGTACGAGCTCCCGGGGAGCTTATATGGAAGCTTCCCGGGAACTACTTTGAAGCTCGCAGGGAGCTATTAAAACATGATTTCTAAACTCCCTGCGAGCTTCGATGAAGCTCGCAGGGAGCTCTCAAAAGCGGACATAGGAGCTCCCGGAGAGCTCCGTGCGAATTCTTTTGAAGTTCAAATGAAGCTTATAAAAAATTTTATAAGCTTCTCAGAAACTCTCCGGGAGCTTCCCGTGCTGTGTGGGCAGTGCCGGCTCATTACAAAATAGGCCTATTGGGCCAACGTCGCGCCGCGCGATTACAAAAAGAAGAAAAAACTTCTTTATTTTAACTTATCTGTAAAATAAAAAGCGAGTCATTATAAAAAAAACTTACCCAGCATCACATACACACATGTCTAAAACCGCATAACCCAGGAAAAAAAATCTTTTATTTATTCATATTAGTTTATATTAGTAGATACATGATTATATATGATCATATAAGAAATGGAAAATATAATCTTAAACAATATTATATGGCTATATATAAGCATATATGATTATATACTCGGGAAAAATACCTCTTATTTGTTCATATTAGTAAATATATAATTATATATGGTCATATAAGAAATGGAAATATAATCTTGAACAATATTATATGGCTAAATCTCTTTAAGTATAACTTTATACAGTCATATATGGTTTTATATACTAGTATATTATCATGTGTTATCATGTAATAGTTATTTGTGTAACACGTGCGGGTTGAGAATTGGACACTGGTGCGGGTGATCGCACTCGCCTTTGCGTGCGGGAATATCTTATTCCTGCACGGGTTCAAATGGGGAATTTCTCGCGTGGGAAATTGGCTATTTGTCGCACAGATGGCGCGCGCGGAATGGGCCACTTTCCACGCACGTATGATATGATGATATAATAGTTATTTGTGCAACAAGTGCTGGAAGATGAAAATTTACGGGTGCGGAGTTGACGCACGAGCCAAAGACGAGTGCGGTCACCGCACCCGGGAATTTTCAACTTCACGCACGTGTTGCATACCTTATTTTATGTTGCAAGTGCGTGGAAAGTGGCCTATCACGCACGCGTCGCGTGCGTAATGGGCCACTTTCCATGCACGTGTGACATAAAAGTATATTTATAAGGTTAAAGATAATTATATATGAATATATACTCTGTAATGGATCAATCCATATAAATTTGTATAACTAGCTGTTATAAAAATATTCTTCTAATAGTATATTATTTTACTTGACAATATCAAATTAATATAAAATATATTATTTTTAGTTTCAGTTTACACAATTGCGTTTTAAGTCTGACAAAGTCCATATTGGCACGCAGTGCCAATTTAAAAAACTGAAACATGTATTTAATAATAATTGATATTGTAAAATATTATTAAGCATCAAGATCCGCTTCGACCGAAAACGGCACTTCTCATTGCTTATATGTTATTTTAAGTTTTCTTTTTTTTTCTAATTTTGCATAAAATACTTAATTTTTTTAATTGACATATTAATTTTTATATTAATTTCCATGGAAAGATTGAAGGTTTGGTTGAAGGTCTGTTAATTTCCATGTAAAATTCGGTTTTAACATTTTTTTTTTATTAAGCGGTATCCATAATTAATGTAGAGAATCTAAACCGATTTTTAGTACTTTTTGAATTTTTTAAAAAAATCTAAATTTGAGAAAGTTATAGCTTGCTAAAGTTTCTTTGGTGACGGCAACTTCAAAAGGTATGATGTCATTTCTTATATAAAGTATGACGTCACAGCACACTTTCGTGTACTATATTTTCTTCAATTTTGAAGATATTGCAAAAATTCAAAAAATTTACAAAGAAAGTATGCCATAATCTATCAGACCGCTTAATAAAAAAAAATTCATGTTAAAACCGAATTGTAGTATCTTATAAACATCTAAAAAAAAAAACAAATTTATGTAGATTTTTATGAATTCGAGTTGTAAAAGGCTTAAGGATTTTGTCGTTTTCTGTAGAACCGTGTAGTATTGTATGCAAAATTACAACCATTCACGAATAAGAAATTTATATAGGTAAAAAATTGTACATTTATATATTTTTTTATTGGACTTTACAACAGACTATACGAAAATAAAAACATAAGTATTTTGACTTCTGCAAATTAAGAAGTTATTAATAATAGATGAATTTTGGAAGATTTGTGTAAAAACTTGTAACATTTAACTAAAAATTACAAATTTTAATTAGCCATAATTGTAATTGATTTTTGAGCTGTACAAACAAATCGGTATTTGTTACTATTCATACAAAATTGTAGTATTTTATGAGAAACTAAAAACTGGATTAGGTTCTAATTTGTATAGTTTTACGATATGTAAATTGTGGTAGATTTCTATAGTCATTTATAAATAATTGTAGTATTCTACAAGCAAGCAGATGTTTTCATTTTTTAAGATTTTGTTTCTTCTTAAATTTTTAAAATTTGTAGATCTTTGTACTATTTTTTATAAAATTGTAGTTTTTCATAAAATACTACTTGCAATAATTTCTTGATTTGAGAACATTGTAATTTGTGGTACTATTTCGTAAATATTTCTACAAAAAAAATAACTATTTATACAAGAAATTAAATATTTCAACAAAAATGTACAAATTTCTATTTTTAGTCATATTTTGTAGTTATTCATAGAAATTTTTTCTGCCAGGGTAATAATAATTATTTATTAATGACACTTTCTTATTACAGTATCTATACGTTTTTCTTATTAAAATATAAATCAAAATCAAAATTTTCTTTAAATATAATCTTTAGCGTCAATATTGCGTAGCATAACATATTTATTGACGGCGCTGCTAACTTGACAACGGCCGAGAATATTATCAAACATAACTAACCGCTCTTCACATGGCACGTGTAAGTGGCCGTCTTTTATCAATTAAAACGTTCATAACAGCAATTATATTCTAATACAGACTTGCTACACCGCAGATTGCTGCAATGTATTCTCGTTTTTTATAAGTTGCGATAAATGAACGATAACTAGCACATTTGTTACACTTACTACGTTTACGCGAGCGTTACTACTGTAGTAACTTACGATAATTCTCTCGCGTAAACGGGATGTTGTAATAACTTACGATAATTTACTCCGCGTAAACGAGTGAATTATCGTAAGTTACTATCAGAAGTATAAGGCCCGGTCTACAATCAGTCGTATGTCGGAGAGTCGGATGTCGGAACGTAGATAGTCCAATGAGGAAAATTCGTTTCCAAAAAAGAAATTCTCTCATTGGCATTAGACCATCGGCTACGTTGCGACATCCGACTCCGACATACGTAGACCGGGCCTAACGCTCGCATAAACGTAATAACTGTCGATTGCCGTGTGGACGTGCGTCACATTACACTGTGCCCGCACAATAGCCTCTTCTTTATTTCGAATTTTAACTTTTAATTTGTTTAATATATTATGATCAACAACATATCTTTTTATTTTGAATTTTAATTTTTTTATTGTAAATATTACGCTAAGACCAATATCTTAAAATGTTCTGCGGTAATATTGTTGCGTGTTCTTCATGGTAGTAAGGTCATAGTCGTTTAAAAATAACGCCGCGGCACAACAAGTTGAATTTAATTATTTGCATTCATTTACGCGTATATGGCAATAGAAAAAGTTTTCAATGTATTGAAAGGACGCTTTCGCCGTTTAAAATTTTTTAATGAACTTCGAGATGTTAATTTTATCGTCCAAGTTGTTGCATGCTGTGTATTACACAACGAATCAATGAAGTCACGATATGAGGCCATGTCAACTATATCATCAGATTTCTCTTTTTTGTCTGGAAATAACTTGAAAAATCTGAGTTTGAATGAGCTGAAAAAAAGTGCTGCTGACTTTGGACTTCACTACTCATTGGACGTAGACAAAGTGGAACTTGTGTCCGAATTAGAAGTATTCAAAGCACAAGTGCAGAAGCTGATCAAGGAATTAGAATCAGCAACTCCCCTGGATTTATTAAAATGCATTCAAGAATACTCTCTGGATGATATTTATCCAAACATCAAGACTGCACTTCGAATTTATTTAACGTTACCAGTGACTGTAGCATCTTGCGAACGCAGTTTTAGCAAGCTCAAATTAATAAAGAATTATCTCCGTTCTGCGATGAATCAAGAAAGATTAACTAGCCTTGCATTAATATCAATAGAAAAAGAAGTAGTTTCACATATAAATATAGATGCAATAATAGACGAATTCTGGGGAGAGGGGGGCGCCGATACAGCTCCTTGCCAAGGGTGTAAAGGATCCTAGATACGTCTCTGTGAATTTCTATGTCCATAATGATTGGGATGGGTTAATAATGTTAATATTAACTTTCACACAAAATTATGTTACCTAACTTAACTCAAGTGACATGTATTTTAAAAAAAGATGTGAAATCTTTAAATTAAATTGCGCCAATTGCAAAGAGAATATGTATATTGCAATGCTTTAAAAAATAATTGTTGTGCAACTACTTTTAAAAAATAAAACTCAAGTGGTATCTTTGTGTTCCTATTCAAGGGTCTTCCTATTCCAACCCAAGTGGTAATAGTTTCTTAATTCTCTTTAACAAATTTTTAATATTACAAAAAACCATTTTAATTACAAAAAATTAAAGAAGTTACAGTACAAAATAAAAATATTTAATTAAATAAAATAAATAAATTTTTCTTGTAAAAAAACTTGGCGCTGCTAGACTTCGAAATTTAAACATTAGTACTAAGATTTTTGATTAAATAAAAAAAAACAATAAACATAAGTTAGGGAAGAATGCGACAGGAGTAAAAAAACCGCCAAGTTTTTTTACAAAAAAAATTTATTTATTTTATTTTAATTAAATATTTTTATTTTGTACTGTTACTTCTTTAATTCTTTATAATTGAAATGGTTCTTTGTAATATTAAAAATTTGTTAAAGAGAATTAAGAAACTATTACCACTTGGGTTGGAATAGGAAGACCCTTAAATAGAAACATAAAGATACCACTTAGGTTTTATTTTTTTAAAGTAGTTGCACAACAATTATTTTTCAAAGCAATATACATATTCTTTTTGCAATTGGCGCAATTTAATTATAAAATTTCACTTTTTTTTTTAAATACCTGTTACTTCAGTTCAGTTAGGTAATGTTATCGACTTGAAATTTTAACTGAAAGTAGAGTATGAATGTAGCTTTCGACTGCAATCTCGTTTTGACAGTGTTACTATAGTTGTTGAGAAAAAAATTTTGTCTCATTACTTTTTAAACAGAAAACGTGTACACGTATATAGAGTGAGTTTTTTAAATTAAAATATTTTAATATCTTAAAAACATTTTTTTTTTAATTTGAAACAAAGCTGTTTGGTTTGGGGGAGAGAAACACAACAGAATTATTTATTTTTGTTTTGATGGGCGTTTCGAGATAATTTTAGGGTCAAATATATATATTTTTTTACCAAAAATAAATGTTTGTTTTGCCAATAATGTTTAACCAAAAATAATATATTCAAATCGACAACAATTGGCAAAAAATATACATAAACTTCACAACGTTTCAACCCAGGCTTCGGGTCCTTATCAAGTGATTTAACAAAACAAAATAAAGCATGGGGTCAAATAACATCGTCAATAATTAAAATATAAAATATGAAAAATATAACAGAAAATTCTTTTTCGTCAATGCAGAAATATTTAAGCGCAAATAAAATTCAAAATACCTGATGAGAAAAAGGCTACCATCGTCGACACATTCTCTAATGTTTATGAGATTTTAACAGAAAAATCATACATAAAAGGCTAGAATCAATAAAATTAATAAGTATGATGTCAAAACCCACAAACAATAAAAAAAGAGGGTTACTATTTACCAGGAGAATGTCTCACGATAGCACCAATTCACATTTCGTATCATATCAACGAATTAAAGCGTCTAGGAGTTACACAAAGATATCAAGCTTTTCGAGCCACACAACGACTCATGTTCACACTATAAAAGTCCGGAACGAACTGGCAGTATCGCATATACTTAAAAGTTTACAAGGTTGTCAGGTCAGAGTAACCAATCGCAGAAAACAAAATTATACGCTCGAGATGACGTTATCGTATATGCAGGGATTTAAATTATCCGTGTCTTTTTTTAGATTAATAGTATCAGAATATTTTTTTATAAGAAACATTTCCGCAATTTCTCTCTTTTTTGTATTCTGTACCCTGTGCATCTCAACCTCGGACCATTTAAAATCATGCCCATGGGAAACGCGATATTTGCTGACAACGGAATTAACTAATTGGAATTAACTATATATTTTTTTAAATAGAGATTTATATTTTTTTAACGGCATCTTATGTTACGCAAAAAAAACAACTTTTGCTTGAAACATTTTCTTATCCAGCCTCTACTTTCTATGACATTGAACATTATTAACAAGAAATATTAAATATTTCAGAAATTTGAAGCAGGATATAAAAATGTTGCAGATAAAAATTATTTGGTATTGAGGGGGAAATAATTTGATGTCGTTAATAAAGTACAGGCTTTAAAGATTGGAGATTGTCAACAAATGTGTTGGCGTAGATCACTGCGAAATGTACACAATAAGTATTTTGAGTAATAATTGAAAAGAAAAAAGCGAATAATTAGACAACTCCGCCTTTGTTCTCCTCGTGCATATCTATGTATATTGTCTTTCACGAAATCAAGTGGTCATGTCCGGACACTTTTTCGGATCTCATGTTGTTTATATGTACAACACATAGACAAGTGCTCTGTTTGTTTTTTCTATCTGATCGAGGTAAATATAATATTTACCCTTACGACCTTCCCCTTCTTAATAACCTTCTCATTTACTCATTCTATTAGAAAATGTACATTTGTATAAAATATACGTAAATCCAATAGAAAACTTTTTAATTGGTCTTTAATTAGTCGATTTTTGTAAATTTCTAATTATTTTAAAGATACAAATATTTTTTTTTACAGAACGATTACAAATACAATGTTACATTATACTGTTAAAGATTGTTTGTTGGTTTGGTAATAATTAACATTAAAATAAATCTAGGGTCTCTCAAATCCCAATGTGTAATTTGTGCACCTTTTTTTTACTAGTAAGGGAAACCGGGGCTATATATGTGTCCACACTTCACGCTTTTTTCAAGTTTACTAAAAAACTAATAAAGATATTTGGCTAAAATTGTAATAATATAACCTTTCAACCTTGCTATAAAAAAAAACATAATTATAGAATCGTTAATTTTTTACCATTTTAAAGAGGTAAATTTTTTAAGTAGGCAAGTCAAGCGTAGACAGCCCCATATGCGGGGCTATCTGTCCACATTCGAGGGGCTGTCCATCATTTCCTCCTCCTTTCTAAAAAAAGGCATGTTAAGTCGATACTCGCATATCTTGAAGTTTTTTGTTGCCGCTTTTCCGCGATGCCAATTGGTTCTCTCGCTGCACTTACTTCATTTGCAGCTGTCATCGTATATTTTGACAGTTGTGTGTATCAAGAAGTTAATAGTGTAATAGTAATTGCATAATGTTAAAGCTAAATAGCGCGCGCGAAGCGCGCGTCTGTGGTGTCTAGTCCTCTTCTAAAAAGGGCATGTCGTAGGTATTGTCACTTTTCCGCGATGCCGATTGGTTCTTTTGCTGCGCTTACTTTATTTGCAGCTGTCATTGTATATTTTGACAGTTGTGTGTATCAAGGGTTAATAGTGTAATAGTAATAGCATAATGTTAAAGCTAAATAGCGCGCGCGAAGCGAGCGTCTGTAGTGCAATGTCTAGTATAATAAAAAATACATTATTTATATTAATTTTTATATTTATTTACAATATTATTTATTGTTAATATATAATATTGAAAAAACTGCCTAGTCGTTGGAGTCAAAGCAGTAGTAGGCACTTTGTGTAGATTTTTTGACAGGATTCCTGCGTGGAGCTGATTTTTCTTTTAATACGGTGGCATCAAACAGATTTTGAGTCCGTTGTAAAATTAATGTGATAAGTTTCTTTTGTCCCCTCAATTTTTTAATCTTTTTTTTTTTATTTGGGGCCTTTAGTTTATCCTCGGCAGCGTTTGAAATAGAAAATATTTAATAATTTAAGACAAACTCATATATTTAACTTGACATGTATTTTTAAAATAAAAATTTGATGACGCGATTGTTGAATCACAGGATCAAGTAGCTGCTCGTAGGTCACTTTTTTACAGTAGTGGGTGAGAGTCCGAACATTTATTTCAAAGTCTAACGCTGTTTTTGTGAAAAAATTCTCGCTCGATTTTTATTCTTTTAATCACTCAAAGTATAATTTTATTGGATATGTCTACCTTATCCGTCTTAAGGAAAATCTTTCTTCTGTAGTTACGCATCATTATCTATTTATAAAAGAACAATCCGTCATTGAAGTGTGGACAACACATTGTCCCATCAAAAATAAGACAGATAGCCCCGACCACGTTTTTCAGTCTTTAACATGTTGCCAATTTTAGATTATGCGGAATTAAGATTTAACGTTTCTCACACCTGATAACTGTATATTAATTGATAATATTATGAGCTGCTTACTTTAATTTGAGTTAAACTACTGTTGCACAGCCGACCGTCGAAAAATGTGAATAATTGTTTTCGCTTTTCTTTTATCGTATATAGCATCTGCGAGAAGCATCGCAAGAAAACAAACAACGTTTAAATCTCTTACGTAGAGCATTTCTAAACTATTTGTTACAATGGTAGAGACGTCTGTCTCTTAAAACCTCAGGTAGCAAGCCCCCGTAGACAGATAGTCCCGGTCTTCCTTAAGCATATTTTCTAATTCATTTTATTCGAGTTTATAATGTAAATTTATATTCAAAACAATATTTGATTATATAAAATATTAGAAAACTCTTACCTGCGTAAAATACGTCCGTTCACATTTGCTGCTTGATCACTCAACAATGAAAGCACAGGTCGTACCTGTCGGATCTCTGAAATAGAAACTTGACTGCTACAAAAACAGACTTGATGATGCTTTTATATTATTTTCCCCACTCGAGTTAACGATTCGAGGAGGGACGGTGAAAGGCAGATAATAATGAAGACTTCTCTCGCGGTGATAATCATCCGTACAAATTTACCTTTCAAGATAAATAAAAGCGCCAAGTAAACGCATATTAGTGTATATGTTGTTACCTCGAAAAAAACAAAGTGGTAGTAGATGGTAGTGGTAAAAAAAAAATATGGGAGACTATGAAAGATCCGTGAGGAGGAGAGAAGAGACCGCGCGCATCACACATGCATCGCGGCCAACGGGTAAAAAAGGTGAAAAAAGGCACCAAGTATACGCATAATGTTGTAAATCCAAAAATTCAACCTAAGTGGTAGTAGCTTTACTTCTCCAGCTCCTTAACAAAATTATTATATCACAAAATTGCGTTACTTACCCATACAGCACAGATTGTTGCAGAAAGCTTCCAGAAAGGTTTCAAACCCAAGTTTTTTGAAAAAGGTAATTTTGTACTGATATCACGCATATTGTAGTATTAAGCAGGGATCGACAAAAAATTTCCATTTTTTTATTTTACACACGTACACAACACGCGTACTCACGCGTACACGCGATTTTTGTGGAAGCAACCTCGAGATTCACGGTCATCTCTCCACGTGTAGTTTCTTTTTTTTCTCTCGGCATCGCTTTTCGCCGTGCTGTGTGCACCGAACTACAACTATTATATGTGTGAAGAAGACGGCCTTGGTCTCACGCGGCCATTGGCCCGGCCTAGAGAAAGCTTGAACCACAATTGGCCTATCAATTTTTCTTACGGGCGAAGCTGAAACGAGCAGAGTCGAGCCGACCCGATACGGCAAAACATATATTCGCTAGTTAGCACACTCTGCATTGTCGATCTTGACGGGGCATTGGTCGCCGTTCCCTTCCCTTGACCGCTTTCCTCCATATTAGAGTTTTTGTTTCTGCTCTAATTAAATCGACGACCGCTCTTATCTGCTCGCGAAATTTGGATCCCGCGAGCGCACCGCGCTATCGATATGCCGCGGCAATCGCGGAGACGGAATTTTGCACTTCGTGATTTTTCAACCTGATTATTCAATCAAGAGGATTTGTTGTTGCTCGTAATATAATCTTTTTTGATGCGAAAAGTCAATCGATGCCGAGAGAATCCCAATTTTATTCAAGATTAGAAATCTCTTCTATGACGTTACATTCATTAGATTTGTTATGCCGAGTTAGTCCTAGGGAGAGGAAGGAGGAATTTGATCTCTCCCTCTCCTATAGTATTGCTTCCTCATAGAGGAAGCTTTGTTTTCGTGAATTTCGTATATGAACCTTTGATTGCGTATAAAGTTGGGTCTAATCAACCAAATTTAAGTGATTTATATATGAAATAGGGGTAGAAGAAACCAACGAAGAGATTGGTTTTTGAGTTTTTGATGCCAATATGTTCAGAGTGTTCTAAAATGTCGAAATATCGCATCAAAATCGCCTGTCCGTATGTGTGTATGTATGTACAGATTTAATGTCTGTGGTTGCTCTAACTTTCGCAAATATTGAGATATCGGGCTGTTTTTTTTTTAATCGATAGAGTATCATTCAAGGAAGGTTGGTATTGA